CACCTCAAGTTTAGTAAGGTCACCCTCTGTACTTAGGCCTCTCTCGGTCCTTGTAATTCATTTGCCTTTAGAATATGTGAATAAAGACGCAAGCTAAGGTGCGCTGTTGTTTCCTTTCGTGTGATATTATAAAGATTTATCTTATATATATATATATATATATATATATATATATATATATATATATATATATATATATATAATATATATATATATATATATATATATATATATATATATATATATATATATATATATATATATATATATATATATATATATATATATATATATATATATATATCTTCAGCAATGGACTTGTTACGTGGAAAGCATAGTTTCATAAGGAAAAAGAACATAACAAAATAAGGAGTCTGCAATAGGCCGGTTGGCCTGTGCATGGCAGCTCCTGTCGAGAGTTACTACCACTCTCTATCATCCATGATTCTATCTAGCCTTCTTTTGAAACTTTCCAGAGTTCCCGTACTTACTACAAAGTTGCTAAGCTTGTTCCACTCGTCCACCACCCTATTTGTGAACCAGTTTCTTCCTATCTCCCTCCTAAACCTAAACTTATCCAACTTGAATCCGTTGCTCCGAGTCCTATCCTGCTCGGATATTATAAGAACTTTATCTATATCCCCTTTATTGATTCCTTTCACCCACTTAAATACTTCTATCATATTTCCCTGCACTCTTCGTCTTTCTAGGGAATGCAAGTTTAGTTTCTTTAGCCTATCCTGATATGGAAGGTTTTTAAGCCCCGGAATCATTTTTGTCATTCTTCGCTGCACCGACTCTAGTGAATTTATATCCATTCTATAATAGGGGCACCAGAACTGAACCGCATAATCGATGTGTGGCCTGACTAGCGCAAGATATAGTTGCAATAAGACCTCTGCACTCTTGTTACTTACACTTCTAGATATAAAACCCAATACTCTGTTTGCCTTATTTCGAACATTAACGCACTGTTTTCTAGGCCGTAGGTCCGGGCTTACAAGTACCCCTAGGTCTCTTTCACAAGTCGACTTCTCTAGGGTGATGTTGTTAAGGCTGTATACATTATAAGTATTTATTCTTCCAATATTAACTACACTGAACTTGCTGGTGTTGAATTTCATTTGCCATTTTTCAGACCACCCCTGCAGTTTATTCAGATCCTCCTGTAATGCATTTGCATCCTGCCCTGAATTAATCTGCCGCCCTATTTTGGTGTCATCCGCAAACTTGCTTATGTCACTACTGATCCCAGTATCTAGATCGTTTATGTAGATTATGAACAAGAGTGGGCCTAGTACTGACCCCTGGGGAACCCCACTGGTTACACGGCACCCACTCAGATTTAACACCATCTACGCTGACCCTCTGCGTTCTATCGGTGAGCCATGATTTTATCCAATTTACAACTTTCCCCTCGATGCCATGAGCCTTAATTTATCTCAGAAGCCTCTGATGCGGTACTCTGTCAAATGCTTTGCTAAAGTCTAAGTAAATAACATAGTAATTTTCGTCATTATCTACTACCTCGAAGACTTTCCTAAGAAAACGTTAGCAGATTTGTTAGACAAGATTTTCCCTTTGTAAACCCATGTTGAGAGTCGTAGATTAATTTGCTTTTCTCTAGATGCGATCGGATGCTATCTGCTATAATTGATTCAAGAAATTTCCCCACTACTGACGTCAAACTGATCGGCCGGTAATTTGACGCTGATGCTCTGTCTCCCTTTTTGAATATGGGTACTACATTTGCCTGTTTCCAAAAGTCTGGCACAACTCCAGTATCTAATGATTTTGTAAATAAGTTTACGAGGGGTCCGCTAATCTGTTCCCTACACTCTTTCAAGACTGGCGGGAAAATTTCATCCGGCCCTGGGGATTTTATTTTCTTTAGTTTATTTATCTTCTTAAGAACATCCTCTTTTCTGATAGTGATATTCTTTAATTTCTCTTCTTCCTCTCCCTTAAATATCAGTTCCACCTCTGGAATTTCATCTCAAATTTCTTCTGTGAAAACTGATAAGAGTAGCTGTTCAATGCTTTGCTCATTTCTTCACTGCCATTTATCACTTCTCCCCTCCCTGACTTTAAGGGCCCAACTTTGTCCTTGACCTTTGTCTTATATACCTGGAAAAATCCCTTTGGATTCGCCTTGGATTCTCTTGCTATTTTGATTTCATAGTCTCTCTTTGCTTTCCTTACATTTTTCTTAACATTCCTAGATAGTTCATTATACCTATTTCTGAGCTGCTCCTCCCGTCCCTTTAATTTCTTATATATTCCTTTCTTTATTCCTATCTCATGTTTAAGTTTTCTCGTCATCCACCTTGGCTCATTCTTATTTGACCTAATTTTTCTGTATGGTATATTTTGTTCTTGTGCTTTATGTAGTATACTAGTGAATATATTATAGTCATGATCAATTGTTATGTCATCTATGACCTCACCCCTTCCTACTGGGGACTGACGTGACTGTTCCCAGGTGACCTCACCTAGGTACCTTCTTAACCCCTGATAATCCGCCAACCGAAAGTTTGGGACTCTGACCATATTGTCATTGTTTTTTGTTTCCCAATTTAGGGTGAACCTGATTTCTCTGTGATCACTGTTACCTAGTTCTTCCCCTACTGTGATATTCTGATAATATTTTCTTTATTTGTTAATACTAGGTCTAATATATTGTCACCTCTAGTAGGTTCTGTAATTAGTTGTTTCAAAAAATTGTCCTGTACTGCGTCTAGGAAGTCTTCAGATTCATAGTCACCTACAATGTTGTCCCAGTCAATATTTCTAAAGTTGAAATCCCCCATAATGCATAGGTTGATATATTTTGCTGCCCTACTCATTTCCTGCCATATGGGCTGAGCTGCTTCTTTGCCAAGACTTGGGGGCCTGTAAATCACTCCCATAATTAGTTTTTCTCTTCCTTCCGTGATTTCTACCCACACAGACTCGGTTCCTATTTCACCCTTTATTGAATTATTTATACAACTTTTTAATGTATCCTTGACGAAGAGTGCGACCCCTCCCCCCTTCCTACCTTCCCTGTCCTTGTGAAAAAGGTTGTACCCTTTTATGTGGTACTCTGATAAAAAAATTTTGCTCGCCAGATTCATCCAAGCTTCGGTGATTGCTATGACGTCTACATTCTCGGTACATACAACCGCTCTCAGCAAGTCTATTTTATTTTTAACGCTCCTACTGTTTGTATAGTATACATTTAAACCTACCCTTCCCTGGTCCTGTTTTACCCCTTGTCCTGAGCAACTAATTTTACTTCCCAGGACCTGCTTGTTTTTTTACTCCCACTTTCCCCGACCTCTCTCTACTGGCGAAACCCCCCCCCTCCCTTCGGAGAGACAATTTCACTCTCCAGGGATGCAGACAACGTCTTTACCCCCTCACGAGACAAGTACATAAGAACATAAGAATGGAGGAAACTGCAGCGGGCCTATTGGCCCATACTGGGCAGTCCCGTTTACACCCAACCTCTATTGCTCATATAAGCATCCAACCTATGTTTGAAACTATTCAGCGTATTCGAGTTAATGATGATATTTGGTAACTTGTTCCATTCATCCACCACTCTGTTTCCAAACCAGTGTTTACCTATTTCCCGCCTAAATCTAAATTTGTCTAATTTAAAACCATTGTTACGAGTTCGCTCCTGGTTGGATAGTTTGAGTACCTTTGTAATGTCCCCTTTGTTTAGCCCTGCCTTCCACTTGTACACCTCTATCAGGTCGCCCCTCGCTCTACGTCTCTCGAGGGAGTGCAAATTAAGATGCTTTAACCTGTCTCTATACTCAAGGTTCCTAATGCCCGGGATTAGTCTTGTCATTCTCCTCTGAATTCTTTCCAAGGATTCTATATCCATTCTGTAATACGGTGACCAGAACTGAACTGCGTAATCCAGGTGTGGTCTCACAAGAAGATACAGTTTTAGGATGACCTCGCTAGTCTTGTAACTAACACTCCTTTGTATGAACCCAAGTACTTTATTAGCCTTGTTACGAGCAAAAACACATTGTTTACTTGGCTTAAGGTTCCTACTTATCATTACTCCTAAATCTCTCTCGCAGTCGGATTTCTCTATGTCATCGTTGTTCATCTGGTATCTGGTTTCCCTGTTTCCATCTCCTATACTGAGTACTTTACATTTGTCCACGTTGAATTTCAGTGTACTCCGTCGCGACTGTACAGGTAGTCGTTGCCATAGAATTGTTGCCAGCTATCAATGAATGCCCAACCATTGTTTGCACAATGTTTTTCCAGTCGGCAATTTATAGCAATTGCCCTGGACAGCCATTCACGACCAACCCCTTTTCTAGGCAAGACACCACATACTATCGGGATCCCTCCCCTATCTCTAATCTTCCCCAGCGCCTCCCTATACCTCTTGAAACGTTCCTCACTCCTAACCTTTCCTATGTCGTTTCCTCCCACACTAAGACACTACTGGATTGGTACCCTCCCCTGACAAAACCCTGTCTAACCTCTCGGCTACATGCTCTATCCCAGCCCCAGGAAAACACACCCTAGAAAATACCATAGAAAATACAAACATCTTGACGTTAGTGATTAAAGAAACCAAACTTATTCAGGAAGTTTGTGTTTTCCCTGGTTCTCCTCTTCGTTATATATATATATATATATATATATATATATATATATATATATATATATATATATATATATATATATATATATATATATATATATATATATATATATATATATATATATATATATATATATATATATATATATATATATATATATATATATATATATACACATATTTATATATATATGTATACATACGTAAAATAAATGGTAAGTGACCATAAATGTTAGTTGCCTCGGCAAAATTTATGAATTCCCAATCGTAGATGAATCCCTCTTTGAATGAGAGAACTTTCATCCCGGTCCTCCTTGCCTGGCCTTCCTCCAGTATACACACAGTTTAAAACAAATATTGTGGTTAGTCTTATTATTACCATACGGGAGTGGCAGCTGGGCGACCGTAACAGCAAGGAGCAGTACCATCAACAAAGGTGTCGTCATCTCTACCGTCTACCACTGTGAAACAACAAACAAAAAGTAAGATTTTATAAGATATTTAGTTGTTAAAAGTTCGAAATATAAATTTATTAAATCTTGATTTTGTGTTCTTATAATTTATTGATACAGGTTTTATTCATAACAGTAACCAACTTCGCACTTCAATTTCTGTCTTATTAAGATTTGGAGAACTTCATTTTGTTCTTTACTCGTTGTTTATTCCATTTTTATGTTTCCATTGTATTTACTTTGCCGTTTTATTTCTATGAATTCCTCTTATGATAGTTATTGCGATAACCGAAATGTTAGCAATGAAAATAGGATAAATATGAGGAGGTCCATCTATATCCCAGCCTTGGTAATGTTGTAACAAATATGTTTTTTTTATCCATTTGTTCACTAGTTATTTTTCGGCATTATTCTTTAATTATCTTTTCTTACTCTTAGTTTTCTTTCTTTGGCATAGAGAGTGGGTGGAGGTGCGGGAGTGAGGGCGGGAGACAGAGAGAGATGACACTGGATGGATGGAGAAATATGGCATAATTGGTGTACTTTTCTTTCATCACACAATCGTAGGGACAGGAGGAAGACATGCATGGAGGAGGAATAACAGTCTTTACATAACATGAAAGCATTTATTATACTGTCTTTATACCGTCTGGTTCAGAGTCTCTTATGCTCAAGTGTTTATAATTACTCAATGGGTAGTTTCACTTACTAATTTTAAATCAAGTCTTAACTCAGGACAATGGGGAGGGAATTGATGACACTTTTAAGGGTGTCTGTATTTATTTAACATTCATAAAGAAGGACAAACAGCCTTCCTAGCTATCTTCACAATATAACAACGTTTAAAGGGAATTTACTTAAACGTACACTTAATTATATATCTCGCCATGATAAATCCACCGGCGGATACACTTGTTCCAGGGTATGGAAAGCACATGTCTTACCCAATCAGCTCAACTGTGCCTATGACGTCACACTCACAGGTTACTGTGATTGGGTTACTGTGTATGCACACACAGGCACTGACAGTACAGGCACTGCTTTTGGGGGGAAATGTTGGCTAAGCTGAATTTTTATGCCAATTTTCTCAACATATCATTGTTACAATTTTATGAATTGTAAAAATAAAAGTAGGTGGCAATACATAATTGTAATAGCCCCTGTTTCATCAACAGAAAGATTAGATAAATGGGATAATTCATTTTATTTCTATACTAATTCACCCCTTGTAACTTTCCACTGGCTATGAGGTGACATGATCAGAGCACGTGATAAGGCGTGCCCATGGGAACCAGCGTCATATTATGCTGAGTTAAGGCATTACTTGTCGGCCTTTCTGGCCACCTAAAGAGGGAATTACTACTCAACCCCTCACACAAGAAGGACGTGATTAAACGGTCTATTTACATAGGCCCCGTCCTTCTCTTAACACTCATAGCTACAGTGATTAAGTTAAGGTTGATTTATACTCTGGAATTGTATCAACAGCAGTTCCTCAATAAAAGGAGGAACAGCCAATTGGGTTTCGCTACTCTAACCTAATATGATATAAATGTACCAGCCTAGTTAACTTCAACAGAACCTATAGTTAACAGGCTATAACATATGGTGGCAGCAAAGTGTGGTACTGATACGACATTCCGGTCTGAATACACATTTTACATACCAAGGCGTCAGGGTTTACCGAAACAAGAAAACAATAAACAGTGACTTATTACATGAAATATCCTAGTGTATTGCTATATCCCGTAGTGAGACGATTATAGTTGAGTGTTTTCATTCTGTCTCCCAAAGTGGTGTGCAGAATTATTTACAATAACTGCTACTGATTTATTGTTGACTTGCTACCATACGGCTAGTTAGTAATACCCCTGTTTCGCGACAATTGGTGGCGGTCAGGAAGAGAGCATGAAAAGCGTTGCCACCGTTTGACCGCCGCTTACAGTGTTGCAAGTATACCAGCAAATTTCAGGGTTTACTAACATGGGACCTTTCACAAGTGTCTGGACGACTGTTGTGGCTTCGTGATAGATGATTGCATTTCTTCCTGTGCCCCAGAGAGTCCTTTATAAGCAGGGCTTCTGAGGGTTTGGGCACACAGTAGGCGACATCGTAGCAGCGATAGGAGACCTGATTCTTCGTCGTCAGCAGTTTGGAAACCTGTGGAAGGTACTCCCCTGTCGTGAAGTGGATTCACCCGGCGTTTGTCATTGCAGGCGTCTAGTGGTTGCTAGGTGATCACACTCAAGAGGAGCGCACGCTAACCGACTTTGGGAGGGCGGCAGGACCCATCCACTCACCACACCCTACCTCAGCCTACAGCTTTGGATCGCGTTTTCTATGCAGACGTCCAACTCCGGCATTAGGTATTTAAAGGTTCACATAATTTATACACACATTTACATAGTCAACTGCATATCTTCACACTGATAGGACATCGGGTAGGCTATATTGTTGTTGTAAGTGTCTTACTTATTTTAATACGTACAGACTTTATATGTTTTTCAGTGGTTAATACCAGTTCCTGTAAATGAGAGGCAAGTGTGTTGTTCTTACTGTAAATCATTGTGTGACCCATTTGACACTTCATGGATAAATTTTCAAAGTTATGGTCTGAGGACATTGCTGATTTAGTGGAGCCTTTTGCTGACGATTCACATATAGATGATAAACGTCACGTTTCTACTGCAGAGGTTACATTAGGGGGGGAGCCAGAAGCACAGTTTGACGATTCTGTCAAGAGTAGTGAGGATCTTATAGAGAAGTCATTTGACTATTTAAACCATCTGACCCTACGATCTGGTAATCAGTATAGTACCTCGCCTGATAAATCACAGGCTGTTCCTCGTCCTCTTCCGAGTTACAGTGTGTCAACTAACTTGGCGTTACTTGCCCCTTTGACTGAGCCTTCAGTTAGGAGTAAGCTTGGTAGAATGACTGCTTCTAACGCTAATACAGCTTCTTCTAGCGCTAATATGGCTGCAGGTAACGCGAATATGTCCACTAACCCCGCGAATGTGTTTCACGTGATTCCACGAGGTGATCAGGTAAGTGATTTTACTGGTCAGGATGATTACAGAATCACGCAATTCATCCGTGCATGCGAAGATACAATGCGCAACATACACCTTACGGATGATTGTGAGAAGAAAGCGTTCGTGCGTTCCCATATCCCGCAGGGTTCATTTGCTAGTACGCACCTGACTGCGTATGGTTTGACGGAACCCGATTATGAAAACTTCAAGCGGACTCTAATTGGTATTTTCGAGTCAGGGTCCCACTTGGGTCAGTCGCAATGGATCTTTCGCTGGCTTGATCGATTAGCCCCGGCGGTGCACACAAAATCCCCGATGGGGGCTGTCTCTATTGCTGGAGAGGTCAGACAAGACATGGAAGCAACTTTCCGCGGATCAAAGTGGTACGACGACGAGGGTGAGATGTCCGCAGAAAACGTGGAAACTTTAATTGAGTTGGTTAGTTTTCTGATGATGGTTCGTCGCCCCATCTATGGTCGAAGCCAGGAAGTGGAATTTGTTCTGCCTACTGTCATGGTGGATTACGCTAACAAGCTGGCACCTAAGATCACTGGACCTCTGACAGCACGTACTTCCCAGGCTACGGCGCCTCCCCCGGGGGCGCAAATGCAGCCGTTGGCTCCGATCGCACCTCAACACCAGGGTTACAAGCATCGACGATCTTTAAGGTGTACCCATTGTAATTAAAGGGGTCATTGATGATTGTTACCAGATCCAGGGTGGTGGTGTTAGAGTACCGGAGAGAACCCATCCCCCGACAGGCGATAGGCAGTAGCAGGGAGCGCCAAGGACGTCCACGGAGGCGGTTAAGACTACGTCTCCACCTGGCCAAAGATCAGGAGCGTGGTGTGCATTCCACCGGTCAGCATCTCACAGCACAGATGAGTGTGACATAATGATAAAGGCCAGGGGTGTGGACTCTGGATTACCCCCAGTAACACAGCAGCGTAAAGCGCTCTGTTACCAGGATAAGAAGTCGTGGGAAGGCCAGCACCTGTCAAAAAAACGAGGGGGATAGGTACATTGGTGCCTACTTCTCACAACACTTCTGTGGCAGCCTCATTAGTAGCGGCTCACGGGTTCGATTCCCGGGCCGGTGGAAGTTGTTTGGACATACTTCCTAGCCCCCATTAGTCCCTGTTCACCAAGTAGTAAAGTAGGTACCTGGTGTAAATCGAAAGTTGCGAATTCGTATTGAGGGAGTTGGTGGAGCTTCCAATAACTTGATGACATAAACCATTGACTCTTCAGGCTTCTACGCCCTTAACTCATGAGACATAAAAGCAAGCATGAACTTAGCATGCTTCCCTGTTGGGCACTGTAATACCCTTCTGCGCTTTACCTTACACAAGGATGTAGAGGGGGTGCCCAATAAATAATAATAATAATAATAAAAAAATTAGTAGCGGCGCTAAGTAAAGTGGAAGTGTTGTCAGTACCGGTGAGAGTGGGAGAAATCAGATTGGCTCTGGATATAGACACGGCTGCATGCGCGAATGTTTTAGCCTTGACATCGTAGATTCCCTCACCGAGATTTTTTATGGAGACCTACTGACGCCGATCTCGAAGAAGTATCTGGCATGCAGCTGAGTATTGAAGGAATGGTGACGTCACCACTTAGATTTTCAAGACGTGGTACTCCCTTCTATGCGGACTTTTATGTGGTCCAGCAATTTAATTTGCCAGTTCACGGATTAATTGGTCTTCCAACACTCAGAATGAATAGTATAGATGTTCGTCCACGTAATAATGCTATTACGTTTAAAGGTGTTTCCTACAACGCTATGCGTAATTCTGCACCATTGCTCTCCGCAAGGTCGAAAGTGTTGTCCACCATTCCCACACGGAGGAAGGCGGATAATGTGTCGAAGCAGGCCCCAGACCTCACACTCTCATTTTCCCAGCGTGATTATAGCAGCAAGATTTGGAAGATTGTGCCTGCAATTTTGAAGAGTACTCTCCACTATCAGAATG